CTCCCAGTAGAGGACCCGCAGCAGGCGCCGCGCCCCGAAGCTGCGGAAGAGCACGTTCTCGCAGTCCACGACTAACTTGATGAGCATCAACTCCATCTGGGAGCCCGTTTCTCCAAATGGGTGTGTCTTTGTTTGGGGATTCCGCAGCCCCTTCCTTTTGGTTTCGCCCAAATAGGTACGTGTGAAAATAGGGGGGCCCTTAGCAAAACGGCCATTCAGCACTTTTGGCCAGCTTGTTTGAAGGGAAGCTAAAGCAAAACTGCAATTTTGGGAGCCCCGTATCACACCAGTTGGTTCCCCATGTCGGGTTGTTCTTTGACAGGGAACCAAGAGGAAACCACGTATTTTGGGAGGTTCCCACATTTTGAGGCAACCCCATCTTGATGCTTCGCAAAACGCGAAGTCGACCCCTAAATATTGTCGGTTTCCTCCTTGTCTCCCTACACAACTACAAACCAGAAGTAGCTCTTACCAGCTTTGTCCCCAGAGCAACCCTGCCAGGATTGCTATTGGGATTTTTGTATCGAAACGGTGCGCCCGAAATGAAAAAAAATGGCTCCCTATTGCTTCAAGAACTGCTTCAAAATGGCAAAGGATATTGTTTGAGTCAGCCAAAAGCAGAGAACATGGGGCTTGAGAGTAAATCAGTGCTTCCTAAAGCCAGAAAACATTTGAACATGCTCAAAAGATTCCACCCATCCTCTTAACCTACAGCTGTGGTGTCCCTATCAATCAAAACCCGAACCTCCCACCGCCGACGTCCCTGTGGCCTCCCTCTGGAAACGACATCCCGCAAAGGTAGTGCCAAGCACAGGGGCATCTTTGGAGGAAATTGAAGTGCGAAGATGGGGAACCGAACGGGGGAAATACATTCGCAATCGGAACCCAAGAATCCCCCTTTGAACAGATGGCCTCCTCCAAGCTGGTCCGTGCGACTGCACCCCTGCCGTTCATTTGAAGTTTTAAGCAGGGTTCCCTATATTCCCCCCCCTTAAAAAGCATCGCCTCAACAGGTAACTCCAAAGAGGGAAATATAGGGAACCCTGAGTAAGTTTGACCCGGAGATGGAAAGAGGGGCCTCACATTTCCAACCACATAAACGCGGCCTGGAGCTCCCATCTGCGTCAGACTGCAGATTCGTACCCTACATGCGCATCCCAATCTTGAAAGCAGCACTGTTCAGAGTGCCATGTGGGTGTCTATTTTGAGGGCTGGTTTTGCAGGAAAACCGACGAGGAAACAACTACTGTGAATTCCCATATTTTTAAGACAAACCCATTTGTGAGTTTTCGCAAGATAGACTTAACCCCAGAGGTGTCCCTTTTCGGGACTTCAGCTACCCTGTTTAGGTCTAAAGTGGGGATGTCAAACATGGAACACTGGCACTTTTACCAGTCTTTGAGTGGGTCGCATTTCTGAGGTGTGTGACATAGGGCGTATTGATTAATATAAACAAACAAGGCCCTTGGTGTTTTGTTGGACAAGTAAGCACCTGCACCACCCAACTCTCTTTCCACCCAAGGTCCCAAACTTCTTCGGATTCATCCTAACTCTATCTCAGTCTTTGAATGCATATTTGTTTATTCCCCCCCAAAACAAATCAAAAGCTGGTATTAAACTCGTCAACCCCAAAAGCATGTACAGAATTGACAGGGTGGCCGCGCCTAACCTTCGTCCGCCAAGGGTTCACTTGTGGCTGTTCGCTCGTTAAACCCCGCTTGTTTCGGTGGAATGGCTCGCACAGGCAGCACCCATCCGTTGGAGCTGCAAAAACACCTGCCTGCCATCCCACCGCCAGAAAGCCGAGCAAACCCACGGCGTTCGCAGATCGCTCAACGCCCCAGAAGTGCAGCATATACTTCAGGGCCAGCAACCCCTGAGCTGACCTCACAGGTTCACAGGTGACTTCCTTTTGCCTTCACGCATAAAAATCCAACCGCAGAAAGTGAACTAAACCCCTATTTCCCGAAACTGTGCCTAGGAGAACCGACCCCCTGCAAAAAGTTATGCAACAGGTTGCGTGGGATTTTGGGTTCGAAACCAAACAGGGCTCGACAGAACTGTTCAGAATGGGGGATCCGTTATCCAAATCTATATTCTGTGGCGCGACACGACTACAACAAGGGAAACCGCTCTGGACTAAGGTGGAGAAGGGCTGTCGGCATGTTTTTTTGCCGGCGCATCCTTTCGACTTGGGCATGCCTCCAAAAGGACGCCGCAAGGTGGAAACTCGCTTTTGCGAACATGTGGCCTGCAGTAAGGTTGTCTTGAAAGGTACCTACACCAGGCTCCTCAAAACTACCCCATAAGCAAACATACACCCTCGCGGTATGAGTTCAGTCACGAGCAAACCGAAATCGAACCAGCTTCAACAATTCAACACTTGTTTTGAACACGTCGGCCAACACCAGCACACGTGCCACTCACTTCTTGAGAGGATTGGCCCACAAACAGTTCGAGCTTTTGATTGCCACGAATGGTTGTCAAAAAGTGACTAAAGTCCAGGAATTCAGGATGTGAGGCTACCTTTGTGGTTGAAGCAAGCTGGTACCGCACCAAAGGAGCGGCCCTGGCGCCGCGTTTTGGTGCGACAAGCCTGGCCAAGGCAGGAATTCAGCTCTTTTTTCCTTGGGGGCGGAGCGATTGCTTGCATTTTCCAAGCTTTGGTAAGTCTGAAAAGACAGTTCTGGCTGAGTCCGTGGATGGCTTACTTTCTCTTGAACTGACCCACCACCAAACACCAACATTCCCAATTCATGCGCTACTTGGCATTGCCCCCCCCCAACCCAAACTCATATTTTGGTTCCGGGCAATATGTACTGAACATGATTTTCAACAGTGTCCCCGCGCTTTCACCAAACCATTCCATTCCCCCCAAACAAGCGATGTGGCTGACGCAACACAAGACGCTTGTCGCCCACATCACTCGCCATGGAAAACAGGGCACTCTTTTCTGATGGTGTTTTTCCATGCAAAAGGGACATGCAAGCCAGTTGTCCGGGTCACCTGGCCCTCCTGAAGTGGATTGCTCATGAACACTAGCCCGGAGTGGCAAAACCTGCCATGTGGTTGATACAAGCACTCACAGGTCACCTGGCTTTGGCTTGACCGAGTCGCCACAGAATCCCATATACTTCCGTTTGCTTTTTTGCCAAGCAGGATATTTCCAGTAGTGCTTAAGCAAGAATGAAAGGAAAGGAGCAATAAACAGTGGACTCCACCGGGGAACTGGAGCTGAAATCCACTGGGCCGAGTCGCCATGCTACCGTCGCGAGAACGGCGAAATCCCGTTGGCAGCTCGTGCAAAAGCGGATGATGAGCAGCGCGGCCACCAAAGAAGAGATCTGTAAGCTGATGATGGTGATGGCCATGCTCAGGTGGTCATATGGCCCCAGCCTCATGGGTTCCCGAACAATGTCCAACTAAAACACATCACCACTACCAAAAGAAACCAAACCAATCTTAACGACCCAGAAGGTTGGCTTCAAGATTTTTGTTGAAGGCACGTCTGGAAACGGATCCTTTCTGGAAATCCAAGAGGGCGCAAGTGCCCAGCCCTCGCTATTCCCCGGTAGACACAGGGAAGATGTACCGGGGGGGATGACCCTTGGTTGGGGTCCATGGTCCGGCCGCTCTTGCACACATTCCTTACGGTGATAAGGGTCCAGCCCAAGAGGTCTTCCAAAGACCTGGGTCATGCTTGCCCCCAAACCAGGCACATGACGCGCACAATGGCTAGACATCTGCTACCTAAAGGGAAGTCAGGGGAAACCCAAATTTCACCGGACTCATCCCAATGTTCGAGGTAAGAATTGTGGAACTGGCAAAGAGAAACCAATCCACACCCTTGACATGTTTTTTCTCATGGAGAGGTCTGTTGGCACCGTGCTACAGCAAGACATTCTCGAAATTGCCGTCTAAAGAGGCTTCAAGGGCAGCAAGCCCAAAAACTAGTTTTGAGAGCACCTCAAACTGTTCACTACGCACCTAGTTGGAACATCCTTCCTTCAAGCCTGCGGGGAGGCGTTTGCCATGTGTCGTTCTTAAAACTTGCCTGAGCGCGAAATGAACGAATCTTTGCATGCATCTCTTGTAAGGCAGCCTGGTTCTGGCCTAGCTTTGGCAACGATGTAGAGCCCAACTTGGATGGATTCATTTATTGGTCAGAGCAAGACCTACATTAAGCCCTTAAGAAGGCCGCACAGCCTAAACATGATGAAAAACATCAGGGCACAGCTTGCATGCGCGCTTTGTGGAAGGATACGGAAAGCAAACTCGAGAAGTGCACACAAAAAAGCTAAGCACAGGCAGAATCCAAAGCACAAGCCGCTTTCCGGAATATTGCATAGCAAAGCAAGACTGAAAGGCCTAAGTCCTGGAAAGAGACGCGGATCGGAAAGGGCTCAGCTTGGGCACCTCTGTCAAGCAAGCCCGGAAATCAAGATTTTCCCCACGATCAGAACGAGTCTTGTTTTTGAGGGCACTGTTTCCGCGGGTGGATTGAAAAGCGAATGCAAGCCACTCATTTGGGTCTCCCCCTTTTGTAGGGCTGCGGCTAAGGGATTACACAGAATTTCATTTAGGATTCCCATGTCCTTCGGACCCGCAAGGCTTCCTCACGCAACTGCCGTGAACAGAGCGGCTGGTGATCACTGATTCTGGCTCTGAAGACGTCCGCAGGATACGGCACCTCAGTGGCCAAATTGAAAAGCAAGCTCATTCAGAGAATGTGTTTGCAAATCAGCTGGTTTTAAGATGTGCCCTTTAATTATCCTCCTGCCAGGTCCCCCTTTTGCATAGCGAAGAAGGAAACTGGCACTCTTGTGTAAGAACCCCCCCTCCCAAATTGTTGAAAAAGGAAACAACCTGTTGGGTCTCTGGGTTCGGGTGACCACCGGCGCCTCGACGACGTTGATGATCAGAAATGCCCAGGTGGAGAGCAGCAACGCCGCCGCCACGAGGCAGCGAAGCCATCCGCCCGCGAGCTTGGGATTGAAACTCCGCGACCGCGCGATCTTCCTGGGCTCAAGTTGGAAGGCTTGGCCTCACAGAACCCGCTGACATGCCTTGCTTTGCTTCCGGCAACGGGCAGACGGGCAGAAGCAAAGTGACATCCTGACATCCCCCACATGACCCTCTAAGCACACAGTTTAAGAGAAGTACTGTCCAGGCTGTCCAGGAACCCTGAACATGTAGCCGCTTCAAACAACCCAATAGTAAACACCACCACTTGCAAATCATGATCGCCCCCAGAACCACTTCCTGTGAAAACGCCACGTATCAATTCGCCTTGCTGCGAGGCGTCCGAATCTCCAGCCTCAGCTCGCCTGCTGCGCTGCTGGTGCCTTTGGAGGTAGCCCTCGAGACGGCCGGACCATTGTTCCTGAGCCAAATGCGATATCAAAAAAAACAGCGCTTGGTTGACCGAGTTGAAGTCCAGTTCCGGTCTTTTTTCGTCCTCAAAGTTGGCTTGCTTGGGCTGTCCCAAAAACGGGTGTGACATGTCGGGGCGCACCTTTCTGGCCTTTTGACTTTAAAGGCAAGCCAAGAAAACCACCGCTCGTTGCACCCTGCTTTGAGACACACCCATGCACGTTCGATAACTCAGCTAGGAAGGGGGTTCTTGCAAACATGGCATCTCTTTGTTGGGGTGATGCCTGCTTGGCGTTGCCTGACAAGAAAATGACAAGGACACCGCCCGTTTGGGGGAGGTACCTGTGTCAAGTCAAACCCGAATGCCTGACACACAAGAGTTGCAGTTTCCACTGATGCCAAACCGCGGATGAACTAACCTAGATTGCTCCTAACACAGCCGCAGGGCGCCTGGTTCTTTTCGTACCGTTTTGGGTGGTCGCTATCCTGTGCAACCACAATCATTGCACCAATGCAGGCACAAATGATAATAAACAGGCTCCACTGCACGCATGCTGGCACAAATGGTAACAACGATAATCTCGGTTGCTTTCTGCTCCCCTGGTAAAACTTTAACTTTTTGTAATTTAATGCAAAACCCATTAGTTGGCAACAAGTTAAAGTCCTAACATCCAAGCAAAATGCACCAACGTAATCACGCACATCCACAACCGCACACCCATGCTGGCACAGCCATGCAGGCACAAATCATAAGTTCATCGGGCATCCACAACCGCTGCAAGCGAGAGCCACATGAAGTAGTTCGCGGAAAGTCTGTTTCGCGAGTTTGGAGAGCATTTGCTGAATCCATTGGCCAGAATTGAGCATTTGCAGAGAGGATTCCGGACAGGCGGCGTTGAATCTGGTGTGAACAGATTGTGGGGGAAAAATGCAAGTCCCACATATCCCCAAAAGGGTCTGGACATTTTGACCAAAGCTATGCCTCTCTACCCAAGTCTTTAGCCAACTTTTAGAGGTCGTGCTCAGCGAACTTAAGTGACTGATTCAAGCCACATGGATGTCTCAGAACTAGGTTCCTCCCCCCCAAAAAAAACCCAAAAAATACAAACATACATGTGTTTTTCCTTTTGACTTCCCCTTATAACCAGCCAGCATGGCAAACCATTTGGACTTTCTGATTATACTTTGGGATAGGGAGTCTTTGACTTTTGGGCCAGGCCAAACCAATCCTGTTTGGACATGGTAAACACATGTAAACACATGTGTTTACCACATGCTTTTGGCCCGTTAGAGAAGGCCAGGTGTTGAAACACATCCTTTCGCCAGGTTTGCCAACTTCTCCCTTGGCAAGGTTCATGCACCAATTGGCGCCGGAGGTGGGTTCATGCACCGCGAGTGCCGAAGCTTCGGCAGAAATCCCGCTTTTTGTCGCGGAACGCTGGAGCAAGACGGTTGCGGATGTGAGACGGTTTTGCCACATGGAAAGAATCACCTGGTCGAAGGGTCCTGTGGAAAAATAATCTTCTCTGTGATACCGAGCTGGCCACTGTTCACACAAAGTGGCGCCGAGCCCCTACCATTTGCCAATAATGGGGTATGTGTCAAAATGATTAGCATGGCGAACTTATCCGTTTGCTGCTTCGACAACAACATTTGAAACTCATCTAAAACTGGCCAACGAATAATTCTAAGCGGGCTTTGCCGGAGCCCGCAATTTTGCGACACACTCACCAGGAGAAAGTACCGGAAGCCCTCACATGTTGCCTGCGCCGCTTTTCCTTACAAAATGCGTGCGCGCGCACGTCAAATCCAGGACCAAATCCAGGATTTCCAACGGCCCCACACGGTGTCCTCGCCAGAGATACTGGAGAAATCCAAATCAAAGCGAAAAGCAATGCAGTGCACCTCCCTATTGACTGATTCAGCAGTGAAGAAACCAGCAATAACATGGCACACCCTTTTCAAGTGGTCTATTGATTAACCCGCCCTTGTTTCAGATGCCTTTACGTTCGCCCAATGTGGGATTCGTGCACTATTTCAAGCTTGGGATCCGCAGGATGAGCCGCAAGGGAAAAAAACCTTCCCAACCGAGGGGAAATTCGGAGGTTCTCGAGCAATTTCGAACCGGGGCGGATCCAATTTTGTCTCCCGGAATGGATTTGTTATATGAAACTTCTAGCTTGGGCTTCCGTTTGGTTCCCCTTTGAAACCATCCCAAAAGAGCACCTTTCGCCGCAGAAAGAGACACACCCTGTACCATTGTGAGTCATGGTCGGGGGTCCCCCGACCCCCGGCCCGTTGCCGGTGACCCAAAAGGTCCAAACAGCCATGGTACCCTTTCTGAGTCCGGAGCAAAAAGCCAAAACCGGGGCCGGGGTCCCCTACATTTCCCCTTGCACATTAGCCCCTAAATAGTACCCCCAAACCTCACTTAAAACGGCCACAAAAGGTGCTTACCCGGCCACGGAATCAGGGTCGCCGGCATTTGTGCACCATGCCCACTGCATGCCTAAACCCTGTGGCATGCAAAAGCAACAATTTCGAGTGGCTTGAAGCAAACATGGGAAAAACGGCCAATCCAGCAACAAATCCAACAACCTCTCAATCAAGCAAGCGACGGCCCCACGCATAACAGCGAACCTTCGCTTCAATCAACGAGCCGCGTCGCCGAGAAGCATGATTCTCCCGGACTTTACCATAGCTAGTGGCCCTGGTTGAGTCCCACCCTTGTGGATGGGTTCAACATCACCTGAAGTTGGGCCAAGATTGAGTCGGTTTCCTTTTGGGGTGAGGTAAGGGGAGGAGCTGGCCATGAAACCCCGTTCTTGATTTCTATCAATCCTTCCAGTTCAGCGGTGCCCTGTTTCAGGCTTCCCCCAGTTTTCACCCTTGGACGCACAAAGTCGACAAAAACCAACACGCTGCTCACGCGAAGTTCAGCACCCATCAGTCCTTGCGCAGTCCGGCCTCGACGCTTTGCAACGGGCTGCGAAGTCGGAGGTCTGGGTTCTTCTTTGATGAATTTGTTTGGGCTAAGGGAAGCCGCTGTCACATCCGCGATTGTTTGGCAAAATGCCCGATCGAGCCTAAGTGTCTGCCTAAGCTCTGAGGGCACGCCTGGTACAATAAGTAAACAGAGGGGTTCGCTCCAAAGACCCTGGCAAACGTAGTTTGATCAAGGCTGTGAAGGGAAACCAAACGACGTTTTCCACGGGGGATTGGTTGTCTTTTGGTGGCACCGACCCGAAATTGGATAGCCTTGGAAGGGACCGCAAACAGTGATCATCACATGGTCACACGATCTTCGATGACAGCGGTCCGGTCTAACTTGACCGGCGAGCAACCAAACACACACACACACAGAGACAATCTGAGAAACAGGCAACACACAACTTGACGACTGTTAGATTCGTTGCAAGCAAGGATATGCTTGCAGAATGTGGAGAACAACGGACATCACACGAGTCATAGCAATTCCTGGAATACATATAAATACATGTGCACATGCATATATACACGGTGGTTGTTCTAAATTCCTTTGTCTCGAAACGGCCATCCTTCGCGAAACCAATTACGTTCACGAATCTTTCCAAGTTAGTACGCTGACTGACTAGCGCGGTGCTCAGATTGGACCTCCAATGCACTCGAAACCTGCGTTTTCGCGCGGGCTTTCTCGGATTCGCGAAAATCACCCATGTTTCAAAGCTAAGCTTATAAGAGCACACACACACACACTTGGAGCACTAACCAACCAAGCAGGGTATCAAACTTGTAGCATATGTATGAACCACGGCACGACTAGATAAGCCATGGGATGATAGCACCTCGGACAACCAGCACACGTGCAAAGGATTACACCACAGCCAAGTAATCCCCTTCTTGGCATTTTAAGTGCAGTGGATGGCTCAGTGTGCCATCCACATTCACCCAATTGCACAGGGGGCCTTTTTAATAGTAGACCTCAATTCGGTGGGCACCTACGTCCAACACCCTCAGCGCTTCCCTATGAGTGCGTCTGAGAATGACAAAGTAAGCACCCAGTTTGGGATTCGCCCATACAAAATCCCCCCCCCCACCGTCGCCCCCAAAACAATGGTACTCCAAAAACTATCCAAACATGGTACTCATCCCATGGTACGACGGCTCATCCCCCCCAAGAACGGTACGGCCGAATCCATCCGACTCCGACATCGCCTGGTCGGCCCAATCTGCGAGCTCGGCCAGGCGCAGCACCAGCTCCTTGGAGTTGGAACACGGGCGCCACGTGGGATACGACCCAAAGGAATTCGGTGAACAGCGCCAAGTAGGCGTCGAATTTTTAAACAGAAAACCAACTAAAAGTCAGTTCGTGGACATTACGCCCCACCATTCTTTTGATATCTAGCAAAGGCGGTTTTGATGAATAGTCACACCCAAATCAGCTGAGGAACAAATATCTGACCAAAACAAAATCCTTGAAGGGCTTCGGTCAGGCCAAAAACACTGTGTCCCAAGTATGGAGCCAAATAAGAGAACCATTGACTGCCATGATATGTATATACTTTATGTACTGGGTACGATTTGCCAGCTGTTCCCTTATACGTCTGAAGGTGGTGACTGGGTCCAACATAAGTTACATCTGTCAATTATAGGCATGCTTCTATCAATTTCGTACCGCCACAAAAGCCATGCACGCCCAACAAGCTGTTAAAAAGCGGCTTCTGCAGGAATTCAGGGAAAGCGCCCTGTCTTGGTCCAATCTTTTGGAGAGTCAGTCCATGCCAGCTTTAGACGGACCTTCTACCGGAAATTCGCACACGGTTGCCGGGCTCTTGTAGATGGTGCCGTAGCGTGGCTTCTTAGAGGATGTTGATTTTGTCCGCCTGCTGATTTGACTTCTTGTGCAAGGCAACTTGGAAAATCGCAGCTTTCGGTTCTCAGTTGCCAATGACAATGGAGGCGTTTTGGGGATTGACACGAAGAGAAAAAGGGTGCCACTGAACAACTGATATTTTGCGAACCTTAAAAATGATTGAACATTCAAATGATAGAGGTCGCAGTAAGCAACCCCAGTTTGAACTCAAAAGGACGTGCTGAACGTGGCTGTGAAGCATACATACCTTTGGGCCATAATTATGGCCATACCCATGACTACTTCAGGTGATTCCCAGTCACAGAATGTGGCCCAAGACTAAGACTATGGTTGTCGAGGATCGTTAGGGAAATCTAGCTTAATAGGCTTAACCCATGGTTGAGGCACGAAAGCCCCAGTCGATTCCATTTTCAGTGGGTCCCAAGCCCACCAAACAAGGCCAACCATGGAGGGTCCTTCAAACATGGAAAAGTGTGTTCGGGTTGGTGGCTGACCACTTTCAGCGGGTCCCGAACCCACTGAGCAACAAGGCTTCTGCAGGCCACAATGGAAGTCTATGCAACATAGGTGAAAACAAAGAAGCACGGAGTGGAAACATCAAAGCTGCAATCTCAAAGTAGTGGTTGAAAGGGAGGCAACCCCAACAGTAGCTTTGAGAAGTCCTCACATGTTCACCGCAGGAGTAGAAGAACCCAGAAGTACAATTTTCGGAAGGCTCTTCCTCAGAAAACAAATACTTGAAGGGACCGAGCGTGGTGCTCCGACTTCCGATGTCTCAGCTTTGGGCTGGCTCCATCTGGGCCTGGCGAGGGAACAAAGTGACTTGCCCGGTTTTTCGGAGCGAAAGACTTGAGCTGTTCGGCCCTGGACTCAAACGAAGACATCGCCCAAAGCTAGGGGGTTTGTCACCTCGACAGGCAAATGCCAGCAACAACACATGAAGCAACTGTGGGCTGAAGGCTGGGACAGCTTTCCTTGACCCCTGCAAAAGGCGAAATCTTGCAGCTTGGGATGCTCTTTGCAAGAAGGTTTGTGACCAATCAAAGGACACTGCCGCTTTTCAGGCCGCTCTTCAAGCGGCCTCTGACATGACCGCAAATAGTCCCAACCTGGTCTTTAAAACTGTTCCCCCGTCCATATTCCGTTTCCCTTGCACGTCGGATGGCCGCCGGGCATTCTTACCAGTAATCAGTAAACCGCCGACACTTGTCACATGTCAGGGTTGGGCCAACCCTCTAAAATATTCAACCTGTTTAAACAACTCCCTGTTGGTTTAGCTCTAGGTAGTTCTTACTGGTGTAACTGGCACAGTACTTGATGCTTGTCTTGGAACCTGCTTGCCCCCCCCCCACCCAAATCGCCCAGCGACACTGGCGAGCTGGAGAGCCGGAGCCCTTCTTGACTCCTTGAATCCACTGACTGAAAAGGGAACAAGGGAATGGCGTCACGAGTCTAGACATGTCCCCAGAATTGCCTTGGGTTCCAACTTCAAAACGAGGAACCCTGCGGAAATACGTGGCTTTCTTTTGGCCCCCTGTAAGAACAAACCCGAAAGGTGTAACAACCACAAACAAACACCTCATCCTCACCAGGGTCCATTGAAGTGACATCCTGTGAATGGCGCTTCAAAAGGGAAACTGACAAAAAAAAAGCAAACTTGAGAACACTTCACAATGTTCACTTGAAGGGACCCAGCATGACCCAGCATGACCCAGCTGCAGTCGTTGTCCCATCTCCATTCAATGCCCATCTGGGTTCTTTGACCACAGGCGACCTGCCCGGGCCTTGACAAAGGCATTGAACCTGAGGCATTTCGGCTTGGCCATGGCACTTTGAAGTTCCGGCGATTTTCACATCCCCACTGCTCGCGGCCTCCGTGATCTTCCCTTGTCCCGCTTTCCGGGAACATGGGAAAGGGCCTCTTTGAGAGTAGTCCCCCTTTAGTTGCATCAAGAGATCTCCCGGGGGTTGAGTGTGGTTCCCAAAATGTCATTAGTCGAAATCTCACCCAATGAAGCGTGCTTTGTCGAACCCCTTTTGAGGGATACTAATACGGGCCGGTTAAAACACCACTGGATACCACTGGCATTTACCAGCTGGTTTAGACGATCCCCGTGTATAACTAGGTGTGCAGCCACCAAAACTCTCAAGGGATCGCCCTAACTTGACCAAGAATTCGTCTTCTTCCCTGGGCAAAAAGGGAAGACCTTTTGAGGGAAGCAGAAAACAAGCGACCAGCCACTAATTCCCCAACCCAATTTCAAGGTCCCTATAAGAGGGACCATGATGGGTGAACCGGCAAGCCTTGCGAAGTCGTTGCAGTTTGCCAAAGTCCAGCGGGCATAGTCGCGAACTTGAACAGGTCCCAGCTCGGGCTTTCTGAGTGCTTTCATTTTTCCTGGCCGCGTTATTTCCTTCAATGGATTGGCTTGATCCAGACATGGGAACCTATCAGGCTGAGAAGGGGGCCTATTTCAAGGAGACGCCACCTTGTGAATTGGGACCAACGAATGGGTGCAGCCAACTTGGGTTGGGTTCGGAACGCGGAAGCCTTTCGGACCGGTGCAATCCTCCCTCCGGCCCCATGGCTCTGGCTGGAAGAATTACCCAATGATTTTGAGGGGTCCAAGAGCTCTTTAGCTTTCCTGGATCCTTCTTGAGAAAATTGCAGCCAAGGAGAGGTGACCCTCTTCCCAGTCGCCCGGTTCTGGTCCATGAGTGCGATCTTATTTCGGTCGACATGTTCTGTGTGTTTTTGGTAAACTTGGGAACATGCGGGACTCATTAATTTTGCCTGTGCATTTGGGTACCACATGTTTTGACTGTGGCTTCAATGCTTTGAAGATGATTTGAATACGAATTTCAATTGAGAACTCTTCGGTGGACATCATTTACATGGAGGACCACCATTTTGCACGGAAAATCGTAGCCGTTGGTGAATGCACAGCTATTGATCATGCCGGGTCGCTTGGAAAAGCAGCATCTACACGATCAAGGGCTTGTTTAATCTGACGTCAGCAAGAGGGTACTGCAAGGGACACCTGGTTATCTTATGTCAAAAGCCTTTGGCGTTGTAGGCGCTCTGGCTAAGCATGAATTCAACCTCAAGTCAGGGTGCTGAGCAATGAACATCCTGTAGCCTTAAAGTGTGCCTGGGTGCAGGCTCGTAGAACTTTGTGGCTTCGACGTGGATTGCCCTTCGAACCCTGTGTGTGAAATAGAGATAGGAACAAACAGAACATTACCCATGCTCCGGACCTGTCTCAACACAGGCTTGGATGACGCTCCATCCCACATTCACTTCGACAATGGTAGAGTTGTAATTCGAATACCCTGACACTTGCTGCCAAAAGGTTGACCTCTAGAGAACCCGCAAAACCGGGCTCCTTCTATGTGACCCCCACAAGCAAATGCACTTACAAATTGCCAACACGATGATGCTGCTGGCTGAAGGGAAATCTGGGAACCCTGCTGAGAGCATGAGAAACACGCGAACTCGTTGGTGTTGGTGGTTGGTTTTGAAAGGAACCACCCAACCGCCCCCCCCCAAAAAAAAAACACAAAAAAACAATGCAAAACGAACATACAACAACAACTCGCAAAAGAGCTTGGTCTGGGCCCAAAGTCATAACCTCGTAACGTGGTAGCTGCTTGCTCTCTTCCCAACCAAGGCCCGGGCCAAAACGGCCAGCGCCTTCGTGTAGGGAAGTCTGCCTGGGAGTCCTGGCTCGTGGATAGGATGGTCTGGCAACTCCACCCCTTTGATCGGGTCCCAAGGGGAGAATTGGATCTCATTGTGGGGCGATCCGGCATCCCTCCTGTTTTTCGGTATTTCTAGGATCCGAGGCAAAGTCCCCAGCGAGATCCACGAGGGCCGCAAAATGAGGGGCGGGGGCGGAGTATGGCGGATTGTCCCGGGTGTCCCCCTGGTGGTAAAAACTTTGGGCATTTCGCACCAGTTGGCCCAGAATCTATAGGGTTTCATCCATCCCAGTGCAGGATTTCCATCCACAGTCCAGCCGGAAACATAGAGAAAGGAACCCTCGGCAAGCGAGGGGCTCTCCAAGCCACCCCCCAAGTCTCCGTTCTGGGGTTGCCAATTTTCTGCGAGGGAACCCTCCAAAAAGGTACCGCTGAACTACTAGGCCTTGATTCTAGGGGAGTGTGGGGAATGAGGAATTCGCGCGTTGGGCAGAGAAACTGCTGGCCCCTTCCTTTCCGATTGATTTCACTCCTGCAAATTAACACGGAACTTGAAGCACAGTGTGTAACCTCCTTGTTCATGACCTTCCTGCGAGGTTTCATGTCCATCCGAGCCCGGGCGCAAATGTTTTGGCGGTTGTAAATCGGGCTGTAGGCCAAGAACATCCGGCGATACGAGGTTTACAACCCCATGGGCCAGGCCACAAACAAGTCCATAAATCAGGACAGGACAAGAATCGTCTGGCCCAGGTGAATTGTAAAGGGGCCCCCTCTTTGTGTCTTGAATCGGAGACATTTCTTGTTGGTTGAGTGACAATCAAAACCTGACATTAAAATTGTCGACCCAGAACCATGTAAAGAATTAAGAAGGCGGTGGGGCTGTTCCTTACTAACCTTCACTTACCCGGGTTTTGATTGTGACTCGGTTGGCATCAAAGGGGAAGCGGAATAAAACCAACCGCGTTGAGACAAACCCATAGGTTTTATGGAAAAGCCATTGGTTTCCAAAAGGTCTCCAGGGCTTTTGGGGTCAAGGGCCCCATGTGTATCTGCTTTCAAAGGGCATTTTTTCAGGTATGGGGTTTTGGAGGTATGTAAAATTGTGTAAAAACCATGAATTAATAAGCTTGTAAGGCAGGCTACACCCCTTAAATGATACAAAACCCAAACTGAAATGGACTTGAGGAGCCCTTGGTACTGGTTTCACAGAATCGCATGCCGCCCTCCTCGATGAGGCCCGTCAGCTCACCCCGTCTCAGGCGCCGGTGCTGGGAGGCGGTACCTGCGGGGCGACTCGCTGCGAGCTGCGTGCCCTTGGTATGAGAAGCTTCAGCGGGGACCCCTGGTGTGTTTCCTTGTGTATTGGACTCTTTGGGCTTCTATGGGCGTAAGGTGATAGAGTTGGCTGGGTCTTGCTTAAAAGCTGTGATAATAAGATGTCCGAATTTTGAAGTGATGAGGGCCAAGAGCCTCTTCTCGCGCGCAAAAGAGACGTAATCAGGGGTGTAGCATTAATTTCGTCACTCCTTTCTCTCGTGTTCCTTTCGAGGAGAACAAACAGCTTGGCAAGCCAACAAAGTAAGCTGGGATAGGAAAGGTTCCTTTGAGATTCATAGCCACTTTAGTTGGAGGGACACCAAGCAGATTGGGCCATTGAGCCGTTCTCCTGAGTCTCGGTTTGACGCCCGAGACCGTTCAGGTCCAGCCCTGATCCCAAACGGCTTGAGCTTGGGGCTTTCCTGTAAAATGAAGCATCATTAACGTGCCCTGCGTTGCTTCAAGGATGACGGGCGCGGATAAAGGTACATGGGGACTGGGCCTGCTTTCGCGCTGGCCTCGCGCACATCATGGGCTGGCAGGGCTAGGCCTGCTCAATCCTTTGCACAAAGCGCCGCAACCGCCGCCTGATTGACCCAACATGCTGACTATCTAGCAAGCCGGCTCACAGACTCAACAACGAACTCACCCAGTGAAAAGACTAGCTAGCCAGCACGGACGTATCTCTAAACTAACCCCCAAACATTGGCAAGTTGCGGTAAAATCGAGGCTTTCCGATTTATTCCCCTCGCAACTTCCCTTTTCACCAATTCCACCTTTTGAGGAAACAAAGGGAGGAGATCCGAGCCAACGCTCCCAGATCCTCAGCCACCCAGTCGGGAGGCGCCATGGATGAGCACCAGCCCCCCAGCCTGGCAGTGTTTGCAACACGGTTTTCGCCGTGGTCCTTTCCAAGTTCCATGCATTGGTCCGAAAGGACCCCTAGAATTAATTCTGGAGTATGCGTGTAGCAACCACATGTTCCCAACAAACGAATGTGAATGAGAGGGTTCTTTTGCAGCCTCTTGTAAGGGAGAGAGATCAGTGCAGTGCTTGCATTTCCCAGCCCAAACATCGCATGGTGCATATAGCTTCCCAGCTGCCCAGTGACCCTTTGAGGGGTTGACTATTCGTGAACTCATAGGGAACAGGATGCCACTGAACAACTAGGCTACAAAGGGACCATGTTTGGGGGAGCCCATCTGACATAAAAGGGGTTCCAAGGGGGAAACCCAACAACGTAGCAATTCCCAAGACTACCTTTGTCGCTGTATTTGCCAGGGCTCCCAATATTTCCCGCCAAAACATCACTCATGTAAAGGGAACTTGGTGATGCTAAAATCTACCAGTCATGAGAGGCCACACTTCATCGGAACTATAGCATATTCCTTAAGGGGCACAAGGGGACATGGACAACCAAGGGCCTGGTAATGGAACGGTCCCCTACATTGATTCTGCATGAAAGGAACGCGCGTCGGGCGTGCCACGGGATCGATGCCGCCAATCGCCTGCGCAGCAAGGCATACATCGAGGAGTCATCAACGCCGGGCCGACGAAGCAGAACCCATCTCAATTTGGGAAAATGGAACACCACAGCACATGGGGTCTGGTTAGAAGTCCGAGTAAAAATGCAAACACGATGACATGTGTAGCTTTGGTGTTGAGCAAAGCAACACATCCTCGTCCCCACCGAGAAGTTGGGTGTGTCAAGAATCTCCTTTGCTGGTGATTGGCGGGAAACGGCTGTTGTCCCAAACAACTCAATTACCGAAGCTTCTATCAGAACAAGGCTAGAACATTGGTCCCCGTGTGTGAAGATACTCCGAAGAAGACCCTGTACCAATTCTCTACTCAAACGCAGCTTTATCATCTGTTCCAGGGAACCCGCAACCTTGTTTGCGCAGGTTTTTCGTGGAAGCCCTGCGTTGGGATCCTAACAAAACCAAACCCACGCTTAGGAACGACTCATGTCTTTCTTTTTCAAACAATAAAAACAAATCCCTGTACCCAAAGCCCCCGCCCTTTTTGTTTGCCCGCGGTCGAGAGCTTAGGGCCGCATCGACAGGGCCACAGGGGCGACCTCGGCAGGTGGGGGCACCGCTCAAAATGGGTGTGGACCCCCAACAAAAGAAAAACAAGGTCGTAAATGTCCTTCTGGTTTACCTTCAAAAACCCCAGCCAACCAGCCATGGGCTGGAAAAAGGCTGGATGTTTGATTTTAAAGGTGAACCAGTCCAAGGAAGCAACCCGCTAGATGTCTGGGTTCTGTCTCAAGCCCTGGCAACCCCCGATTTGCGCTTGGTCTCTCCTTTTGCTTTAAAACGTGTGTTTTCAAGTGGCCCTGCTGCAATCCCCCCTCTCCGGCCAGGCCACAGGGTGTTGGGGTCTAGGAATCCAGTGACTGGACTTCTTGAAATGTGAACCCTCCGAACCCATAGGGGTGAAGCAATAGATTTCGACCTCTTTTTGGGAGCCATCAACAAAAAAATCGGAAGGAAGCAGTCAACTGACTAACCAAAAAAGCTGGAACTTTTTTCCCCAACAGCTGAAAGCTTTGGGGTCTCAGCCCAGATAGGCTCCGGGGTGGTTCGGGGCGACCCTGAGCTAAGGTTCCACCAGGGTTCCACCAGGGGTTCCACCAGGGTTTCCACCAAAGTTCCACCGGTTCCACCAGGGTTCCACCAGGGTTCCACCAGGGTCCACCAGGGTTCCACCAGCGTTCCACCAGGGTTCCACCAGGGTTCCACCAGGTTCTGCAAGGGCGGGGTGGTGGGGTGGTTTGAGGTAAGGTTCCACGAGGGTTCCACCAGGGTTCCACCAATTTCTTCGGGGGCTGCGAGTTTGGGGAAGGTTTCACGAGGGTTCCGCCAGGGTTCCACCAACGTTCCAGGCTGCGGGGTGGTCTGGGTGGCTGCAGGGGGTTCCACCAGGGTTCCACCAAGTTCTTCGAGGGTGCGGCGTGGTCCGGGGAAGGTTCCACGAGCGTTCCAACCAGGGTTTCACCAGGGTTCCACCAGCGGTCCGGGCTGGTTTGAGGTAACGTTCCATGAGAATTCCACCAGAATCCCACCAGGTTTTGCAAGGTAAGGTTCCATTCCAGCACAGTTCTAGCAGGGTCCCACGAGGTTCTGCGAGGGCTGCGAGGTGGTCCGGGGTGGTTTGAGGTAAGGTTGTATGAGGGTTTCAGGGTTCCACAAGATTCTGCGAGGGCTGTGGGCCCTGAGGTTTCACAGGGTTCCACAAAGCTCTGCATGCAAGGATTCCACACGGGTTCCACAAGGCTCCACAATGCTCCACCAGGCGTGTGTCGTGCGCCCGTCGTCTGAAACGCCATCGGATCAAGATCGCTTTGCTCATGGGCGGAACACTAAGCAAAACCGAAATCAATGGTTTTTAGCGCACTTTCACTGTTTTGTGACTTGCTCGCTTGCTCAGGCAAATGTTGGCTTTGTCGCAAATCAGATCACGTCGCTGCGGAACTCACGGTGCAGCAGAGTAAATGCTTGGCATTGCTGCTTGGCGGGCTTTGGGTTCCAAGAATTCCACGAGGCTGCGAGGGCTATGAGGTCAAACACCAAATTCTGCAAAAGCTATGGGGCAGCCCTGAGGAAAGGTTCCAGCAAAGTTTCACGCTGAGCTCCACGAAAGTTGCGTGAGAACGGTTTGCGAGGTTCACCGGGCCTAGGTCGGGGCCCGATTGCACTGTCGGGGCCTTTGGGCCCGATCGGCCCCGATTGCGCCATCGCGCCCCGATCGGGGCCCGACTCAGTCGGGCCCCGTCAATTGTACCAAGCTGGCATCGCCTAGTTTTGCTACAGATACAGTTGCAATCCGCATACTAAGAAAAACCGGAGTTGAGCTATAATATGTGTGGCTGGGGTTGCACCACGGGACGATCGGGGCCCGATTGCACCGTCGGGCCCCGATCGGGCCCCGATTGCACCTTCGGGCCCCGATCGGCCCCCCGATTGCACCGTCGGGCCCTGATCGGGCCCCGATTGCGCCGTCGGGCCCCGATCGGGCCCCGATTGCGCCGTCGGGCCCAAGCTGGCATCGCCTAGTTTTGCTATAGATACAGTTGCCTTCCGCATGCCAAGGGCCACCGGCGGAGCTATAGTAGGGTTGCGCCACGGGACGATCGGGGCCCGATTGCACCGTCGGGCCCCGATCGGGCCCCGATTGCACCGTCGCGCCCCGATCAGGTCCCGATTGCGCCGTCGGGCCCCGATCGGGCCCCGATTGCGCCGTCGGGCCCCGATCGGGCCCCGATTGCACCGTCGCGCCCCGATCAGGTCCCGATTGCGCCGTCGGGCCCCGATCGGGCCCCGATTGCGCCGTCGGGCCCCGATCAGGGCGAGATTGTGCTGTCACTCGTAGCTTTGCTTTACAAGGCGGCATCCTCAGCAACACCGGCGGTAAGGATGGTCCCAGGGCGTTCCGCGAGGATTCTGGGAGTTATTTGTTCTCTTGTTCCCCAACAGCTGGAGGGTTCCACCAGGGTTCCACCAGGGTTCCACCAGGGTTCCACCAGGGTTCCACCAGGGTCCACATGCTGTTGGGGATATCACCTGAGCTTATTTTTTTGCGAGCAGCCAGCACTCAGCAAAAGCAACAGACAGCGGAAGCTTACACTTTGGGAGTTGAAAGCTTTGACAGTTTGGCTTTGGAACAAGCCAGTGGCAATGGACCGGATAGATCAACAGAACACCAACCAAGCACCAACCTTGGTTGGCACTGCACATGTTGGAGTTGCTCCGTGCTGTAGTGGACAGTCATGTTTGTTGCTTTATATTTCTACTGCTTTGACGCATTCCAAAGACTTCCAAACTCCTTGAAATATAGACCATACACGCGGGACACCCTAGGGGTGCCCCAAAAGGAGATTCCTCTGTGGTGCTTTTTGGGATTCCATGCTGCAGGAGAGGCCACGTGCCCGTAAAATGGCCTTCCCTCCCAAAGACTTGGCCAGACTTGAACCCGCAAAACAGGTTCCAACTCTTTGTGGTCAGCAGAAGATCCCCAGGCCCAAGACTAGCGGAGACCCGTACCCTTTCAGAGGGCTCCAACCGACCTTGCAGGGTGTTTGGGATCTTCAACCTCAAACATCACCATGGCACCCCCATTTTGACAAACCACCCCCGCACCACGTTGAAATGAGGTCATCCAGATTTGAGCTCGTCTCTGAAAAGGGGAAGCCCCATTCAAATAGGGATCCTGGCTTCCATTCGGCCCGGCGAAGAACGCCACCTCAAAAACACGGAACCCTTGAGGAAGCAACTAGGGCAATGAACCCTAGCCCAGCAAGCCAGAAACAACTGCCAGGCCTCCACGTGCCAAGGAAGCCCAAACTTCACTTCCGTGGCCAAGCACAGTAAATACTTTGTGTTTGCCTCCCTATATAGTTGACCCAAGAGAAGTCTTGAAACTTAGTCGCCCCAAAGATGACTAACGTCCGGAAACAACTTGGGAGCGAGCAAGGTGCCCAACCCATCGGATGTTTTGCTCAGGCCCAGGAGTGCGAGCGGAAAAGGATTCGAGCGTTAGTCGGGGTCTCCAGTTTCCAGCATCCTCTGGCATGGCTGGACTCTGCGTGCACTAAACATGGCTGGGGTCCCTTTGGTTTCCCTGGAAATTTCAGAGTGGTTGAATTCGGACGATGCTAATCAAACAAGTTCCGAATATTTTTTCAGGTTGACCTGGACAGGTTGAACAATTCGAATTGGGGATCATGGGCAGTTCGGATTCCAAAGAGATCGGCAGGACCTTTCGACCTGTTTGTCCAACCCCTACTGATCTGTCGCTCTTTGGGTCCGAGTCCTGAGTCTCAAAGGTCGTCCGACCAGCCCCCTTTTTTCATTTACTGAGGAAGGGAAGCCGTTGCAGTCTAATAGGGCGGCTAAGGACGACATTCCCATGGATGGCCCACCTTGCTATTATGGCCGGGAATCAGCATTGCATTGCTCAAGCGCCAAGATTCCACCAAACGACCAGCCACGCCCGTCCTCTTGACACAATGAAAGATGCGTGATGCGACCAGCTCACCCGGCTTCAATGCTGCCTTTTTTCATACCTCTGTTTCTTCACGGTGAATTCGCCTCATGATAAAAACCAAAGGACACCTAGGGTGCCGTTTGTGTCCCCACGCGAGCTACTAGAATTTCAAACGTTGATTCCAGCCAGTCAATTCACCAACCAGTCTTTTCAAACACCACTGAAATGAACGGTTTTCCTTGCGACGCAGCCCTAGAAAGACTGGCATTCAGCTGAAACCAGGCATCTTCGTGCGGCCTGAGGTCACCTTCCCCGAATGGGCTGGGCATGGGTCAACCACCTTCAGAACTACATATTTTCTTTCGCTTGACACGCGAAAGGTGAGCTGGTCGCATCTCTGGAAACGCGTGCTTGCGGACTGCTTGTAGCATCCGAAGCGGCGAGGGCGAAGAGCAATGGCTCCCAGAGCTCCATGGCTGCATGTTCAGGCTAGCCCCAAAAGGGGGCCGCTCAGAGC